TCTCTCTCTCTCTATCTATCTATCTATCTATCTATCTATCTCTATCTCTTCCACCCTTAACGTTCCCTTTCCTCTCTCTCTCTCTCTGTGTCAACGTACCCTTTCCCACCATCATTACTGTGCACTTTCTTATGTTTCTATTCTTCAATTCTCTCGGATGCTTGATTCATGCCTCTGTCCTTCTTCCAGCCTGTAGGGTACCTCCCTTGCTCCCTGTCGTGCCATTGTTTTCATCACTCCATCTACCCGTAGATTGTGTACATGTCTCCCTCCCGTACCCATATTTCGATCCGTGCATCCATTTGTAGATCATATACTTGCCACCACCGTCCCTGCATTTCCCATGCGTCCATTTTTCATCGACCTGTAGACTGTGTGCTTGCCTACCTCCCTGGATTGTGATTTCGAGCAGACGTGATACCCACGATCCAAGGTGGGAGGCAGGTACATATTCAACGAATAGATGGTCAGAATGTGGGTGGTATGGAAGGGATGTTAGGTAACATATAATCCACGGAAGGATGGAAAGGGACTCTTCGATGAACCCTGAGCCTTCCTGTGTGTTTGTGGACGTGTATTTCGATGTGCTGTTTGGGCAAGGGATGTACAGGGGGAAGAGATCTATGCGATCCTGTCTGACGTGTCAGTTGTGTTTTCGGTTTTCATTTTGCCTCTTTCCTCTTCTTGTTGCACTTTGTCCCTCGAAAAGAGTATGATTTGGGTGCGTGCGGGAGGTTTGGGAAGGACAACAACCGAAACCACCTTCCATCTGGCAAAGTCCGGAGGGCTTTCGTTCTGGTTGCTGGCCAACTGTGCTGCCCTTACCTGTCTTAAGAACTGGAGGATTGGAGGGATGGATATGGGCGAGGTATATGGCAATGAGCGTATGGGTTTGCTCTTCTTTTTGGTTTTTGATATTAAGAACTGGAGGATTGGTGGGATATCGCCAAGGGCAGTCATGGGAAATGTGGGAAGGGGTCTGGGTAATCTGAGGGTGGACGGGGGGTAATAGAAATTTTAGAACTATCAAGGCAAGTCCAGTCATGGAAGAGGAGCTAGTATAATCCCTACAGATCTGCCAGAACCATGAGGTGCTGTTTGTTTTTTTTTTTTAATCCCGAAGGGGTCTGGGAAATCTGAGGGTGGACCGGGGGGAATAGAAATTATAGAACTATCAACGCAAGTCCAGTCATGGACGAGGAGCTAGTATAATCCCTACAGATCTGCGAGAACCATGAGGTTCTGTTTTTTTTTTTAATCCCTACAGATCTGTTCCTGGTTGCTCTCTTGTCCTCCTCCTCCTTGCCCCTCTGTCCACTGGACTTTCCGTATCTATCCCCCTTCTTCCCCTCCCAGCCAGCCAGTCACTCGAAATTTGAAAACGTTTTTGTGTGTTTGCTCTCTTGTTCTGGCTGCCGGGCAACTGTGCCCCCTTTGGCCTGTATGAAAAAATTGGATGGCTGTAGGCCTGAGCTGGCTGTAGGCCTGAGCTTATGTGCTTGCTCTTTCTCTGTGCTTGTTGCTGTGCCTTTTTAAAAAGGCGTGCTATTATGGACAGCATTATCACTGCTTTGCTCTTAACCAAGACCTGGACCAGTGGATCAAGTTCGACGACAGCAATGTGAAGGTGAGATAAGATGAGAGCAGTGAATGAATGTGCTGAGGACAAGTGAGGGCCTTCTCCTGTTCATAAGTCACCGTATTCATCCACCCGAATAGAACGCCGGGTCATCATAGCGGGTATCTGGGGCAAATTTCAGACCAGATGCAGCAATAACGACCGGGCGTTTTATTCGGATGAAGACAGTAGTCACGCACGAAGTTCGTGCAAATTTCTAAAATGCCTTTCCCCCGTTGTTTTTGACCTATGGGCCTCGCTCCACTACTGTCCGCGCCCACAAAAAGACAAAAAATATGGCGGCATATCTCTCCATGTTCCAGTGCAAGGTTGTCTCATTTTGCACATTTGGAGAGTAGCGGAGCGAGGTCCTATGTTCATCCCACGGAATTCGAAGGTCGCAATGTTTTCCACAAACGTCTTGTTCTCTTAGCAGAGAGTTTCAGGCTTCGGCCAGCACAGTGACTCCCAGAAATCTGGGCAGCACTTCCAGAAATCCGGCTGTGGAGACGATTCACCCTCTGCCATCGATTCGTCGCTGCCGCCCTTTAGTTCCCGTCCGGATCGGCCTCCCTCCGGACCTCCCCGCCTATTGCTTTCGAGATTCAACCCAAAGACTATCCTTTTCACCCGAATATCGCGTCCAGTCATTTATAGCCCGTATTCAGGGCAATTTTCTGTCCATATGCAGCGATAATGACCGGGCGATCTGTTCGGGTGAAGACGGTAGGCCAATGGAGGACCAGTCACTTTGTCAGACGCAGTTGGTACACACATGAACTGTTGAAATACAGACCCAAGTTCGAATCCAGAAGGATGGAACCGGATGCATTGAATGCATCAAATACTTCTGAATTATCTAGGGCCAGTCAGCTCGATGATGATATCCCTTTTTTTTTTTTTTTTTTTTTTTTTTTTTTTTTTTTTTTTTTGAAGAGGGCTGCCTTCCCCTCATCGGGGGATAGCCATATATTTTTCTTTCACCTCACATATCTTTCGCCTCGCGTTCTGTCATGTCATGGAACGTATCTTTATTTTCACTACCGACCGCTACTCCTAAGGGTATACAGGGGAACCCTGCAAGCATAGCTTTCTACCTCTCTTAGGTGAAGGGAGGTTACCTCTCTCCGTGGAGAGGTAATGGCATGTTTGCCCCCTTTGCCCTAGCGTTTAAGGTGCAGGGTTGGGGCTGCGGGTGGCGGCCCGGCTAACGCAAGGACCGAGCGTTTGCCAGTAACTGTGCCTCCCTTTTGATCTTCGACCGCCCCCATCGAGTAACGATATCTCAAGGTCGTTGCCGGTTAAACCACCACTACTTCCTAGAGTCGTGCCCGTTAATGCGCCACGATTTTAGGACACGTACGGGCTACTACAGGAGCACCCAAATCCATCCGACTAGAAACGTTTCTACTCTATTTTTTTCCGCGGCCGATAGCTGGGCCAAGTACTGGTGGTTTGAGGGGCAAAAAAAAAAGAAGAAGAATATGAAGAAGAGCAAGATGTTTTGATTTTGGTTGAAGTTGCGGACATGAGGACGCTGGACCCGGTTTCCATCTCAAGCCCAATCTGGGTAACGGCCCCGGCACTCTCAGGTTGAGATGTTGAGGAATTCCCGTCCTCAGCGATTTACATATAATAAAACCGCAACTTTCTTTCAAAAACAAAAAAAAAATGAAGAAGAAGAAGAGAATCATTTTTATTTTTTTTTATAGAAGAGAATCATGAGAATGAGCCCTAGGAGTTTTTTTTGACAAGGAGAAGCGATTGCAAGTTGTCTTCGCATTAGTATTCTTAGGGAAAACTCACACTACAGCCTTTGTACGTATTTCTGGACGGAATTGTGGCCTGAGACATCCAGGTATGGCCGTAAATGCGGCCAGATACATTTGAGATACTGCTAGTGTGAATATTCCCTTATAAGTATATTTCTACCTTGCCGTTAGTGGGAGGTTAGCCACTTCGATCGGGGGGAGGGGGGGGGTGGAGAAAAAAGTAAAAAAACAGGGAAAAAAAAGGTCGAAGTTTGATCATGTCCGAGTACTCTGCGCTGCACAACAGAAGGGGATCTGGTGAGTGATAGCGAAACGATTGATCGTTTGGTTTGCCTCCCCTATACATAATTATGTAATAACTAGATGACCTGTAGCGGCTTCGCTCGCAAAAACAAACGTGACAGGTGATGCAGTAAAAAGGTGGAGGCAACCGACGGATGCAAACTCTCTCTCTCTCTCTCTCTCTCTCTCTCTCACACACACACACACACACACACACACACACACACACACACACACACGGACAGAAACCGTAAAAAGAAGAGAACCCAAAAAAAGCTGATTTCTACCTTATATACTCCCCAGTTCCCCTTCCCCCATCTTTCTCTCTCTCTCTCTCTCTCTCTCTCTCTCTCTCTCTCTCTCTCTCTCTCTC